GAAAAAAACTTTTTGCTTCGTTTTTTGGGACAAAGGATCACTTTTTTGCAAAAATATTTTTTTTATAAGGGTTGACCGAAGGGTAATCGGGGTCGAGGATCACGAATCCGTCGTTAGATTTTCGAAAAAAATCTTTGCTTCGTTTTTTGGGACAAAGGATCACTTTTTTGCAAAAATATTTTTTTTATAAGGGTTGACCGAAGGGTAATCGGGGTCGAGGATCACGAATCCGTTGTTAGTTCTAACGGATTATTAGTTGTGTATCGTCATCAGAGAATCCAGGACAGCAAACAATATCGTTGATAGATATATATATACATGAAATACTGACGGAGGCGTTGCTTCGAATCCGCTGTATACTGAGCGGACTATGTTGAAAAACTATAGTGGGTAAAATTTTAGCTAATTAGAGTGAACTACGGTAGCAAATTGTCCACTACCAGTCGTGAATAATTGAACGGTTGCAGGAAAATGATTATTCGCATTTCTATTTCTATCTAATACATCATTTAAATGTATCATTTGTTGTGTCACTGTTGAATCAGACGCAAATGTGGCATGATACAATCAATCTACCGATAAATTTCTTATAGCAAATATATCATGACTGAAAAGTCCTATGCGAAGAGCTTTAGAATGAATACTGAGAAAAATGATCGATCTTTTGTTGATGGTTCCAATTCGCGAGCAAAGAGAAGATCTTGGAAAAGTTGTTAGATCAGTGATATAAAACCCCAAACCAATTTCAAATGAACGATTATCCAATAGAATATGTTTTTAGGCGAAAGATATTTGAAATGATTATATGCAAATTTAACGGTTGAACCAATCCATCCAGTTACATAATTTACCGAAAGTCTTGCGTTGATTGAATTACTACGAAATGTATAAAATACAACTCATGATATTCTTAACATTGTGATATTTTTATACAGGAGTATCTACAAGAGACATTTTGAAATTGTCATTCATATCGAGTTTTTGAATTCGAGAATTTTGTTAAACATTAACCAAAATTCCCAAACGAATCAACAGTTAGACGGGATTGATAATTTAATTGGTTTGCACTAGCTGCAGCTGGTTTATTGTATTTCACTTAACAAGGAGAAGCATTGGATTTTTGTCCAATAACTCGGTGATTATTGGAATCAACACCAAATAAATAACCTTGATTATCCAATGCAGTTCCACTTAAACAATTCAGATCGAATGATTTATTTGTAAGAATTGCTGTTCCAAGGAATGAACCTAGTTCAAATTATTGGACTCGATCGTTTCCATAATCGGCAACAAATAAAGTCGAATTGATTTCAACCAATGACGATTCATCGAGGATTTCGAAGTGTTCTTGATGTTGACACAGCAACAACGATCAAATGAGTCCACTTATTGATTAACGATTTCGAAATGATTTGATGTCGTTCAGATAATGAACAAGAAAGAATTTGATATGTACTGATGACAATATCAAAGCATTGTTCACACAGATTCAGTCGTATAATTGAAATAAAACCTGTTGAATTCGCTGCGATTTCGCTTACAATGCTCGTCAGCGATGAATAAGATGTGTCCAAATAAACTGGACGAATTTGTTAACTACAGAGAAATATTTTGAATCAAGTGAAATTTCTTCGAAGGAAAACGAGAATTTCTTGATTCAGAATATAAATTGAATTATTCCGATTGATCAATAGACCAAATATACTTGGTCCAATGAGAGTCTGACTCACAATTGCTGCCCCATCTGAATTCCATGTTGATTTAGAACAAAAATTTGGTTGATTATATGAAGAACCTAAATTTACGGCAAAATCATTTTTATGCAAATTCAATTAGTATCCATTGGAATTATCAAGATAACCTACCTGATATACATGTTATAAAGGCTAGAAGAAGGAAGAAATGCAACCTATGAGTGAAGATCATTGCGAACAAGTGGACTTTCCTATCTTCAAATAAATTTTTCTTTAAAATGTTAGTTTACTGAGAAGAAAAGATGATCAAATAGCGAATTCAAGAATAGTTTTGAAATGATTTTTGAGACATGTGCGTGTAAAATAGAAGAAACTACCGAAAGTACTTTTGATTTTGTCATGAAATTTGTTACAATTTCTTTAACTATCGCTTTCAAAAAGAAATTTTCCGTTTGTTTAAACATCGGAAGAATGAGCGATATTTTATATATTCTATTACTATTTGTGCCGTGGAATTTTGCCAGTTTAGATTCAGAAATGAAGATTTGTATATTTTCAAACGATGAGTTTTCATTTGACTTCTAAACATTGGAATTTCTTCTCGGATTTAACTATGTGACTTTTGTTCAAATCAACAATCTAACCATTAATTCGGTCTCGTTTAGAACAATGGAATCATCGATAAGTCTTTTGTTTTGGAGAAAATTTTCTCAGCCAAAAGTGGTGCTAACATATAAATGATTTGAAAATCGAATTCAAATAGGAAACAAGCTCGTTTCTTTTGCGAAATCTTAATATGAACGCGAACGAAAATCGATTTATATTCGTTTCCATCGAGATCTCGATGAGTTTGCACTTGGTTTACAGATTTTCGATAGATCCTTGATTAGTGAAAACTTTGATTGTTCTCCAGATAGTAGATAGATTCAAATAATTTTTTCTGATATCCCGCGAACTCGTATTTTTGATAGAAAGAAAAAGAAAAATAATTGTTAACATCTTCTCTCAGCACAAAATTATCTCTTTGGTTGGAATATCATTCACTTGCTCGAAGAATTATCGTCGAAAACCTTCTATTTAAAAAACTTTTCTATTGCAGTGCGCGTGTCTTGATATTAACAAAGAAACTTCCGTGAACAATACTACGTCGTCGTTTTTCTAACGATTCGTTTTAGTACAATTGACAGTGGATCATATTCTTTCAATTTGTTGATCATACATTGGTGAAAGGCACATTCTCTCTATAGTAATGTGTTGATTAAAATATTCAAAAGCAATGCGTGATAGAGGGCATTTCACAATGTTGATTGGTCATTAAACTGTCTTTGTTCTGTACGGAATGAGCAAGTTGCACTGCGAAAAATGCGAAGCTATTAGTATTCCATGAGTTTGATCTGTTGTAAGATTTTGGCGACGATTCGATACAACATTTCTTTTGTGACGTATTAATCTAGTACGCCACAGATCTGTTTATTATAAATTCGTGGAAAAAACTGGTTAAATTATCTTTCACACGGTCGACAATATTTAGAAAATGAGAACAACTGTCATAAACATGCATATGTTCACAGTGGCCAATGAAGCAAATCATCAACATAGTGTTTTGATTACATTAAATGAAATGACACGGCAATCATTCAAAAAGAAACGAAATTATGATTGAAGCACAGTTCAAATCGGCCCGGCGAAAGCCGTATTATCCATGCTATTCGAGTGACGAGGCTTTTTCAAAGTTTACTCTTCTTAAACAAAATAAAAAAATAATGGTTAATTGAATATTTTAAATATACAGAAATACATTCATCAACCGCATACATACCTTTTTGATCGGTGACAGTGTTTGCCGAACAGTTTTTTTCATTTTACTGTTTCCATCCGATTTTTGTGTTTTTCTATTTATGCTTGATTCTGTTTTATCAGCTCTTTTTGATTTGTCGTTTTGATTTGTTGTCCACGATGAACTACGATAGGGTTCGCGCATCATTGCAGCCCGTTTGCAGACAAGTTTGAATAATATCGTTTGTGACTGTTCAGACATTTTCTTGATTCTGTCGAAAAACGAAGAAACTTATTAGAAGTGATGGTAAAATTGATATCTAGAAACAAAAATGGGAAACCATTCTCTCTTTATGAAATTTTATTTGAAGTAAATGGTGCGAATCTATTAGCAAAAGGGAAAAAATGCAAATAATAGTAGATTGAAAACTATTATAATTCGAATATTATTTTATATCAATGAGAACGTTTAGATTTATGTTTTCTTTAGCTTTCCTCTCACAGATACAATTGAATAAAGAAACTCAATCCAAATCAATGAAAATGTCACTCGTAAGAACAGCTTTTATAAACAAATCGAGAAAAACACCTCTAACAAAGCTAATCAATATTTTTAAAATCGTAAGAAGTATAGTCCAGTTGACCGATGTTATAAAATCCATTCAATATATCCTGTTGTTCAAGTCCATAGGCTTCTTGGAAATCGGATTTCACTGACTCATAGTACAAACGAAATAACATTAAACCTAAAAGATAGTGCACTAATGATTAACTGATTGGTAGCAGTTTCATGAGTCTCTTACTATCATCAAAAGTGAATGGAATTTTATGTACGCCATTTTTGGTCATTCGACTTACAGTTAATATATTAATAGCTCGTAACAGTTTATTGTTTGTGTGAACAATCACATTTAATAATGTCTAAAATTTCAATCATTTTCTCAACAAATCATGCTATTTAAAACATAGATGCATACCTCACAACAGTTATGTATCTCCAGTCTATATCTCAACACTTCTATTTGAGCTAGAGAATGGAACATTCGAGAAGCCATCAGAAATAAAAGCAATACTGACTAAAGAAAAAAGTTTGAAAATAGTTTTTCTTTATTAGTTATCAGATTAAATTACTGTATTAGTGTCTAAGTCATCCAAGTATGATCTTTGAGACAATACTGTTGAAAGTATCGGGATCATTCCAGCATCAACTGCAGCCTATACAGTGAAAGAAGTCATATAACTGCACAATATCGAATAGTAGAACAAACGTGTTAGTTTTATATTCTGAACTTACGAAACATAATTTCGAAGATTTTCTCATATAACAACACAAACCATTCAATGCACAAGTGATTGATCGCCATGTTTCGGAATTTTCACACGGATTGACATTCTTCATTGTAAGAATGGTCAAACAGAGCTCTATCATACTTCATTCATGTAGACGTCTAAATACTTTTTCAGTACTCACTGGCATATTTCTTATGCAGCAGTTTGGTTAGCACGACGGAAAGCAAATTTGGTGATAAACGTGCTAGATGATACGTGTTTTGTATATACTCTAACGGCTGTGAAAAATGTTGTAATGGGTAATTATCGTTTATCAAAGACTTTCCAAGTACTTCCAGAGCTCGATCGAACTATATAAAAAATAATTATCAATTTTTTTTTAGAATTACCGCTCAAAACCTCTTTCAGCAGTGTCTGGTAACTTTTTTCATTCACAATATTCATTTCAAATTGTGTTTCACACTAAACAATCAATACAGAGCTACATTCGTCTTTCAAACGTTAGTTTTAATAAGATTTAATCACCTTCTTGATTACAGGTTGAATATCTAGATGAAACAAAAATAAATTTGAAACTTTTTTCTTCATATGAAGCGTCATGACTCACTTTTCTTTGCTGCTTTTCTCGATACAAGACACAGAATAAGCATACATAACGATATTGTCAACAGACCGATTGACGTAAATTGGATAACAATTGATTCGAATCGGTACTTCTGCACGATAAGATTTACAGCATTGTTAAATATGCTTGATATATTGTACGGAACGCCGTTGAATATTATGGCGGAATTTCCGTTTCCTGGTATGTGGACATCACCACCTAGTTGAATGCTTGAGCATGTCCCACCCATATTGAAATTTCTCCGATTTTGAAAAGAATTCTAATATATACACCTAATGTTCGTAACGTTTTATCTATAATTATATAGAAATCATACAATAGCTAGCTGATTCCAGAGTGTTTAGAAAGAAAATATTCTGAAACAATGAAAGATTTCATATTTGAATTCTTCGTGACATGTGTGACCAAAAGCAAGACAGCTTCAACTGATTAACAACAATAACATGCATTGACCACACGAAAGCGAACTTTCCTCACATATGTTTCGAATCTATCTAGCTACAGATACGTTCATTAGACATCTTCTGCTATATGCTATCCTTCTCTTTATTTCTCTTTCGTTCATCATTATTCAGGCGCATTGAATACATTGATTTTAACTAAACAATATGCAAAGATAACATCATTTTAGTTTATTGACGTATAACAAAAAATGTAATTTTCTATTATGGCTTCAAACAAGAACGACGAAAAAGTGGCAAAATTGTATTATTTAAAAAAATATCATCTAGTTTTTGATTAGCTGCTAGAATTAACCAATTCATTGCTTCTTAATGCGGATCTTCGTAGGATTAATCGTCAAGAATATCAATGATCGTTCAATAAATCAGATTTTGTTGTTACTAACAAAAAATACATGAGTTTCGAAAACAATTCTTTCGATTTGAACATGTGAGCAGATTTTCATTTCGATTCAATCAGTTGTCAAGGTCATGAGAATCATAAAAGACTACATCGATATGTTTCTGAACTTTAGATCCTAATTCTTATGCCAATTTGATGATCTTTTTTCTTTTTCTGCACTTTCTTTAGTTCATGTCTTGTTAACAAATGTGCATGGCTGACAATCTGAGCAACTCAATGAGAAAAAAAAGGAGAAAGAAGTGAGATCATCATCTTGATGTATTGATGAGAACAAAAAAATCCACAGAGAAACCGAAATCAAACAGCAAACTCGATTTCAAATTTCAGTCGACGTTTTTGAATCGTGATATCCGGAAGTGAGACGAGCTCATCATGTCTTTTCTGGAAACGCGTGATCGTGTAGACGATTTGTAGTAAATTCAGGCATTTACTCATATCCCAGTTGTTTCATTTGATCTATACCACATAACGATTTTCGAAGTATATGAAAGAACGAAACCAATTTTCGTGTTCTCATGTGTTCTTTTAGGTTTGAATGATTCTAAAGTTGAAGGTCAAGTCGTTCGGTTGTATAAATGGATTAGTTGATATTTTTTTTATGATTATCGAAATTTGATAAGATGGAATACGACGAGACATTTTCCGAAGAAGTGTTATTCAAAGTTTCAAAAGAAACTTGTAAAACAACGCTGAACTGGAATTCAGTGAAAATAAACGTTCTTTTCTTTTTTCTCCTTGAGCGACATATACTAGGTCAATGTATGTGATGTCGTACGAAAGACGTATGCAGAGAAGAATGGATAAGAAAAGAGATCGATCTGAATCATGATGATGATGATAATCTCGAAGGAAATTTCAAATATTACTTGCTGTTCAACAAAATTATTCTACATTCATGAAATTTTTTGTATAGATTCATATACATACCTAGTCTAACCTCTTCGACGCAGAGAAACTTTTTGGTTTTGTTGGATGCGAGAAAAAAGTTGACGCAACATTCTCTCTAACGAATTTGGTCGCTGATCAGTTTGATAGGTTGCAATCAAATATTTTATACTTTCATTCTATCCTCAGTCGAAAATAGCGGTGTTCGAAACGTTAAATAAACTTGATGTTTATTATTGTCAACTATTGAATAGATGTATTCTTATAGGTGCAAATAAATTTCTTCTTTCCTGAAGTATTGTCATTTTCAGAAAGCACTAGCCTGCTAATTGTGAAAAAACAATTCATTCAAAATTTTTTATCAAACGGCAATAATATCATGTAAATTGTAGAAGAAAATAGAATTATTCTTTTTTCTGTTCAGTCGAACAATTTCTCATAGCTTCGATTGAGTTGAAGAAAAATTGAGCGCAATATTTTGCAATCAGTTGGTTCTTTCGATTCACACACATGAATGAAAGCTTTTCTCCTGATTTTTGAATCTTGCTCATCGTTGAAAAGCAGTGAAAAGCAATTAAAAAGAAGATAATATCGTAATTCGGAGACATTCAACACAGCATTGCTCTGTTGTTTCCAGTTATTTCCAATGAAAATCCGAACAAGTATAAATACAGTCGATAATTTGAAAAAAATTGCTGTACACGTTGTGCATCAATCTAAACACGAATAAACTTATTTTTTCACCATATCAGTGCTGGCCATTTTATTTCGATTAACTACTTGTCCTCTTTTAGCATTCGCTCTTGATTTAATTCGATTTTCATCATTGATACAAGCATCTTCAAGTAATCTCCAAATTATCATCGATTCCTTTTTATTTATCATTCACGTGGAGATCTTTCGCAAACGGTCGCTTACCTCAGCCATGTGCGTGTTATTTAACCAGAAAAAAAACTTCCCTACATATGATCATGAATAATCGACTTTCTCTCAAAATATCGTCATACATTCACTTTTCATCGAGTTTTCATAATTGGCAAATATTTTGATACATGTTTCGTAGAATAGATTATGATTAAAAAATGTTGAATAAACTTTGAAATCCAGTTTCCAATTTAGTTTCGGCTTCTCTTTAGATTTTTTTCGTTTCCATTATTGTTTTAAAGTCACGAACTCACTTCATCACCTCTTTTTTTCAATCGCATTTCTCAGATTGTGAGTCTACATCGTATGCATGTCAGCCATGCACGTTTGCTAGAGACACGTGAAGAAAAGAAGGTGATGAAAAAGAAAAAAGAAAATTAAGCTGACAGAAAGATTAGATCTTACTGCTCAGAAACATATCGATATAGTCAGCGGCATGTTCAAAGCGGAAGAATTGTTTATTGACATAAAATCATGAATCGTTTTCGAAACTCATAGATTTTTTGTTGAAAAAAAACAAAATTTGATTTCTTCATGATTCGTTGATACTTTTGACAATTAAACCTGTGGATTAATTGACTCTGGCAGCCAAACTATGAACATGATAATTTTCTCCCAGTAAGGCATCTTTAGCGTTCTTCTCGTGTCTTCCTCTAGTACATACATGACACGATAATCGATGAATACCTACGTTGAAAAGATATTGACGTCAATGATGAATAAAGAATATCAGAATTATCGACAAAATTCATTCTAATCTATCTTCGAAAGATCAATAATATCTGAAAGTAAATAAAATATTCAACCATTTTTCTCTATGAAAAGGTAGAGAAAAAAGAAGTTGGCACATGTTTTTGGTTTTTTTGTAATTTCTTTATTCAATCTACGATCAATACGTTCAGAATCACAAAGAAATCAAAATTAAAAGTCGCTTCATCTGTAAAACTTTTGTATTCGCACTTAATATCATCCGATTAAAATTAAAATGGTTAATCGCCTTTAGAAATTTCTATTCGTTCAAAAGTAGATATGTAGCGGAAAATATGAAGATGTAATATGCTTGATCTTCGAGAAAAAAAATTGAGTCGAAAAACGACATGTCCTTGCATCGAATGTAAAATCAATGTAGTTTCATTTGAGTCTTATACGAAATCCATCATCATTGTAAATGGTGCTTTTGATGTATTTTTTGCTTCGAATACTCCACAAGTTTACAATCGTTGACGTTTCGCGAAAAACTGACAACATCTAATGTTATTCACTTTAAAATTAGTTTCTTATTCACTTGTTTTTGCCTTTATTATAAATCAAAAATTGTAGTGTGGCTTGTGATTATTTGTAAAAAAGGATCATTGGCTTCACTATACACCTTCAGCAAACCCAAATAAAAAAATGAGAAAGTTTGATTTCAAACATTGCTTGAGACGAACGTAATATAACATAAACAATCACCAACTTGGTCAGTTGGTTTTAGTATCACGCATGTCTGATTGAATCTATTGAGATTTGACGTTTTCGGCGTTTGCAATGACAACAAACAGTGCAAAGAAAAATCATGATACATATGATTGCGAAGAACAAAACATTCGTTAAGGCACTAGAAGAAAATATTCGGCAGTCATCTTGGGATTGTCGCGGCAATTTTCGAAAGTCGACTGTATTGTTGTCTCCCACAATTGATATTGAATTTTCGACGCAATCATAAAACATCTTAAAATGAAAAAAAATCTTCCATATTATCGATTACAACTGAATACTCCGTTAGTTCACTTTTCTACACTAAACAGAGGCTATTAACTCAATGTAAATTTTTTCTCAGATAGACATTGGTTGACCGTTCAATTTTGTTCTCATCGTTTGACCTTTTGTATCTTTTCCGTTCTCATTCTTTTTCATTCTCTTCTCAATTCTCTGATGCATAGTTCGTGACCGATATGTATTCGGGTAAGTGAGAAAGAGATTAAAATATCCGCTCAACATATCATTGTTCGCTCTTCCAAATAGACAAGTCAATAGATTGTCTATTTATGTACTGAAGCAATTGCATAAGACCGTTTGATTATAAATGAATTTCAGTAGCACATTTCCGACAACAGTAGTACGATAAGTTTCAATTCTCTGTTGGATGCAATACCATAAAGCGGAAAAAGAAAGTTAGAATAATGGATAATAGGCAATGCTTTTTAGACACTCCTAATCGAAAAAGTATATTTCCGACACAGACAAAACCATATAGTTCGAATGATTATCGACCGGAAAGAATAACTATAAGAAGACAACGCTACGTTGAAGATCAACAAATAATTAAAGTGATTAAAATCATGATGAAATTAAAAAAAGCACCATAGTGATACACACAAAAAAAACAAAAGAAAATTGTTGAATGTTAAATTAGTGAAAGTATTACACATTTCTCACATCGTCTTGAAGTGCCCGACGGAAAGACGTGATTTTCATGACGTCATCGAGCATAACCTTCGATAAATTCTGATGTCCATATGATTCAACTATAGACACTTTGCGCCGAATAATGCAATAGATAATCAAAATTGAGACCATCAGGATCGTTATACACACAAGATAAGTGAGCCTACAAAGCGAAAAAGGTATAACAACATGACATTGAACAACAATTAAGTAGTTGATGAAAACAAATCGTGGTAATAGGTGCGACAGATATATTGAATATATGGGCACAATGCTTTTCAATATTTCTGCAGGCCACAAAGTGGGTATTGCAAGATGAATTGTTGCTTTATATGTCGTTCAATTACTATATTTATTTTGACAAAAGTGATACCTACTAATGGCACAAAGCCAAATGTGTGCGAGAGAAACAAACGTTGTTTTCTCTGTAAGCCTTTTAGAAAAGTGTCTCTAAATCTACTTATGTGCTTGAGAAATCATCTCTATCTAAGTAATTAATCTACGAGATAACATTATCTGGAAGAGATCATCTCTTATGTCACTATATTTTTCAAGATAGATGCTTTATTTTTGAAGAAAAACAATGAATATGTTGATCACAACATATTGTCAGCTCGTCTCGTCTCATGTCTCTCTCTCTACTCCTGATATCGCATTCTTTTTTTCTATCACATTTTCGTTAATGCACCATCAAGGCTATCATTCACGAAAGAAGTATGTAATCGTGACATAAAATGTATTGATCAACAAACTGGTGAGTTCATCTCAGATTTCAATCTTATTTTGTGTGTACAAAACGCAACCTTAACGGTTCGATTTCCAAAACGGATCAGTTTTATAAAAATAACAAGAGTTTCATACCAATTATCCTGCATATGGCTTAGCCACTTGGCAGGAGCCAGTGCTACACTGGCACCACCCTCCAAAAGTTTGCCAACTTGATCGCCAGCTTTGCGTAACAACGTTTCTTGTTCTTTTATGTCGGGAGTTGGTGGTAGAAATACGTGATTATTTGAGCCAGTAATCGAAGGATTGGTTTCGTGACCACCGATATTCCACTTCATAAATTGCCGTTTGACTAGAGAGTGACTTACGGTTTCGTTGAACATGATAGCTGACATTGCAACACAAAAGGAAGAGACAAATGAAACTATGCTGTTAGAATAGTATGTGAAAATGCAAGCAAGACATTGAATGGTAGCTGACTATTTATAGGTGACTATTGAACGACAGTAATCTAATTATACCAGACATTTACGAATGACTTTCGTGATCAATGACCTTAATTATCTCCTCATTTCGATGCTCAGCGATATTTTTATTTCACGCATCTGTCAACCTCAAAGAAGTATCATTGATCAATGGCATTGAGATATCAGTTATCTTTGTTTTTCTAATCTGATACTGTTGTCAGCATTCTGTCATGATCGAATGAGTCCAAAACAAGGAACAGTCTATCGCCATTCAATTAATTGTGTGACAGTGAAATAAATTTAGATGACGAAGTATTAGTATTTCAAGTGATTAGTATATTTAGAATTTACTATAATGGAGAGGCGAGCCGAAGATCCAAAAAGTTACACAGTCGATTATTGTTGCAAATAAAATTGTTTCCCAAATGAATACGATCTACACTGCTGTGCAAAATTTTTATACAGTTGAAATTATTCAAAGCTCTTTTACTGATGTGTTATAATTATCAAATGGAGACGAAAATTGAAAAGACGATACTGCTAACAAAGTTACTTGTATTAAAAATTAGGGTTGGGTTATTTTGTGAGGGTAATTGATCAAAGAAAAGACATAAGCCGGCAGCATACACACGATGAAAATAAACGATTAACAGATGGGATAACGATAGTGCAAGTTTTGATTGTTATATCATTTTTATCATGTTCACACATATATACGAATTAACAGATTTGCTCAATACAGAAGCTTTCTGTATCATGTTTCTAATGCAACACTAATGACAGACTTTTTGATATGCATTCAACGTGGAGGCTATTAGATCGAACAAAGCTTCCCGAGAAAAAATCGCTTTATACGTTTCATAATATCATGAAAACTCCACTGATTTATTCGTATACATTGATATTAGAATTCTTTTTTTCGCTGTTGACATTAGTCGAAGATTTCTATTTCAAATTGGTGTGGAATGAATCAAGTTGTTACGTCAGATCGACACAAAGTAGTGGTCAGATTGAAAATTTCTAATTCATATTTTCTTTTCTTAACTGACAAAAGAGAATTTCACAGCCTTTATGTGACAATACATTTTTATCGTATAATTCACCGAAAAGAAAAGAAACGTTTGTCAACTTCTATGTAAACTAGCCTTTCAACATACAGCTTCGTTTGAATGAAACTACTTTTGTTTTATTACTCACATAGACAGGCGAAGCGAATCAGAGATAAAATAAGAAGCAGAAGAAATGAAGCGCAAGATATCGAGTTACTTGATATTGTTTCCAATTTTTTCAAAGGATACTGAATATAAAAAAGAATTTCTTTATGAACTTTTATATGAGAACACATACTTTATAGACTATTTAACGATAGCAATCGATCAACTCAAATCTGAACCAATTCTTCAGAATTATCCTTGTCGTCACTATTGTTTTCAACACCTGAATGAATATGTTCGAACGAGATGAATTTGCTGAAAAGCTCATTCTTTGACATGATTAACTGATCACTTTATAATGACTATAGATAAGAGCGTGTTCTAATGAGCTCACGAAGGAGTATAAATACAGACGTTTTTTTTTCAACCTCACGCATAGTCTCCATTGCCGTTGGTCATCGTCATCTCTACGAAACAATACATTGAAAAGAATTTGTACAATCGTTTATTTTCTGTCCGTGTACAGTATGTTGCTTTACGTATTTTTCTTATTCTTACTATAGTTTTAGTTCTATTTTTGTAGAGCATCCCATTTTCGGTAGACACATTTTGAAGAAACTGATCATTCATTCAAGCGTAAGTCAATGATCCATTGCGGATAATGAGCCATTTTGGTATTAAAATTTATAATACAAAACTGATTTGAGTATTCGACGATAATGTTGATCAGATATAAACTGAGAAATATCATTTGAATTCGAATGATCGTGCAAAGCGATCCGAAATTAGTTTCTATTGTGAGATTTCTTACAGTTCTCACAAACTAGCACAATCTTAAGTTCTAAACCTTGAGACATGTTAGATGATTATTTAGATAGTCCATAGCTATGATTGATCTCAATGTCAATGAGTTGAGTTGCAGATATTAAGACATTTGGCAAGATAATCATTTTCATAAAGTCGAAAACAGTTCGAATTAACAAGACTGATTCGAGAATATATCTTGGTAAATTATATTGCATATTCTGTTCATACATTTGAGATACGGCGATCAGTGTGTATTTCAATGAAACATGAGCTTTTTAACAAAAATACTTTCAAACTATTTGATTAAACGATCTTGGTGTAGCTGTACACGCTAGTTTTCAGTCTTGTGCTTATGCATTTCACAGGAGATTGTTCTTCATACAGAAAAATTTTCAAAATTTCTGTGTACAAAGAAAATCGAAAAATATATGTTTATATATGAGCATGCATTGCATAGCTATTCACTACTTTACTTTTTTAATAGGATGGAATGTCGTTTAGTATTAAATAACTGCTCAGAATTTGATATTCCGAATAGCGATTTACTCGGCCGGCTACAGCAACAGCTGAAATATTATAAATTTCGTCGCGTTCAAACGAAAGCTGGAAAATCGTTGTTTTATCTTTTTTTCCGAAAAGAAGAAGAAACATATTATGCATTACGAGCAGGAAAGAACATTAAAGATATATCGTTGGTACGTTACCGTCACCATAGTGTGATTCCTGCACCTTTACATCGTCCCGACGAGATTTCGCCCGCTGAATCATATTATCGGCCAATGCCTTCACGTCGTGTTGTTGATGCAGTTAGGTATAATTTCAGCAGATACATAGAAAAATTTTCAGACAAAGTAGGAGCACATTCAACTTAGTAGTCGAAGTTGTGGTGTATTCGTTTTAGAATATTTTCCAACTATTTGTTAAACGTCTATCGGAACAGATAGTTGCTCAAAGAATTCAAATAACAGAAGGTATGTTGCTCTGCCTATCTTATTTAAGATCTTGTTCTATATTACTGCTTCAGTGTACGAACGCAACTGCAAGGTTAACCACTGGTGGTGGCTAAATCCGGATTATAATATAAACAATCCTCAAAATGTGCAAAAATTGCTAGACATTTATTTTGTGTGACTTTTTGGAAATGAACTACCTGCTCTTATCATTTTCTTTGTTATGACGTTTGTAATAATTACTTTTTTCTGTCGATTGCTAATAATTATTATATATCATTTTCTCACACCTTGAAGATGGTATGAAGTTTTAGATTCCATTTTTTCAATATGTTCAAGTATAACGCATTATTGAGCTACAATTACTCACAGGCGACATTAATCGAATTTTAAAATAAAAACGCATACATGAACGTATGCCCAGCAATTGATAAATCAACATCTGCGAAAGAAATTATGAGCCTGCTATATTGATGATGTGATATTTCTAATTTAAGTCTATTGATATTGATAAGGCGTGAGGATGTCATCGAAGATATGTCGTACGCAATACACTATTCACATACATATGTTAAGCATTGAAGATAAAAGAGGAAAACGGTGCATATGTGTTGGAAAGAGAGAATCACATAGGCAGATGATATCATTTGACATAAGCGTCGCTATGATGAATTGATTTGGAAAGCTAATCAATGTATTATTGTGAAAGAGGAAGATAACAATGAAAAGGTCAAAAGGCGAGAGAAATTTTGAGATAATTTTATCGTCACTGAAATGAACAAATTGAAAAATAGATTAAATAAGAAGGAGAAGAATACGTTGCGCCTTATTGACTATCAAACCTTTAAATGATGGAAGCGAAGATATTCAATTTGTGGCATATGGACAACTGTGACGTATCATTACGTTTGAACAGATTTAAAATAGGGAATCTGTTTTACCATTCACGTAGACGGAAGCTAAATAAAGTGTGCTAAATAGTGTCTTTCTTACCGTAGATATAGATATTCCATAACATATTGTGACATATTTTTAGATAAATATTTTCACGAAGACAGTTCATTCTTGAAATTGGTCGAATACTAGATACGAAACAAGCTAAAAGTAAATATCAATTATAGATTATTTCTGATTTTCATATTAATTAATTTCAGATAATTTCAATGGAATCTCATACTAAAATAATTGAAGTTATCTCAAACATAGGATATTATCTATTGAATTATGTTGACGGAGTCGATGCAACCAATTTTATTCAAGTCTTAGAGTTAAGCGGCCAATTTTGCTCTTTAGCAACAACGGCGGATCATGTTTTCCTTCGAATAGTGAAGAAATTTAATTCTTACGATCCGATTATGATTGCGGAAGAAGCATATGAGCATTATTTACACGAATGCGACGTTGTTAATTTTCGATTGATCTCACTTGAAAAACATGATTTACTATTGAAGCAACCAGAGCAACGCCTTTTTGTGTATCCATGTTTCAGCATTGAAGCATTCAATAAATTATCAAAAACTTATCGAACACCATTATTTCAATGTTACTCACGCTTGATATCTTTTAACACCGACTTCTATTGTTCTGAATATGGACTCATTAATTATGATCTGTATGCTCAAACAATAGGTTCCAATAGAAGTCTAAATGTTCATGAAAAGAAACTATTCAAGGGTAAGTGATTTGAAAATCATAAAAATTGATTGACACAGAGAACGTTAAAGAATTCTACTTCTATTTTATTTAACTTGATTTCTTGAAAGATTATTAATTCCAGTAATTTTCTTTAGCTAGCACATTTTTTCAAATGCAAAATGGTCCACATCCTCGAACTAATACAACTTTTGTGAATACTGTTAAACAATTTCGCAAAAATTTTGATGCTCGTTTCTCATCTATTTATTGGATTGACGCCATCGATTTTTCCAAGTTTGCTATTGTTGGAGGCTGTGTACTCAATGCGTTATGTCACTCGCCGTTTCCAGACACTCGAGAGCAAGATATTAATCTGGTTTATCCATTAGGATATTCTTTTGATTTCGAAGCATCGGTAATGCAGTGCATTGACATTTTGCGAGATATCACAGCACAATACTCGAAACAAGAGATAATTATTGAGCAAACACCTGGTTCACTTCGTTATGATATTCATTTACCATGTGGTATCAAACTTAATTTTTTCTATATCGCTGCTACTCAACATTTCAAAAATTCACTCTGGTCAATTCTTAATAGCTTCGACATAGACTTATGTCAAGTGGGATACACAGGTAGCTACTCGTGTTACATAGAAGAAACAGCACTGGCCTCAGTTTGAAATTTAGAGAATTCGAACGCATTTTGAATAAATTATCAAGACTTGAAGTCTGCTGTTTCTTCCAAATAATCTAATACTTTGATATTGTCATTAATTATAAATTAATTGTTGTAGGAAAACAACTCGTCAGTACATTTGCTTTCTTACAAGCTGTAGCAACAAAGTCATTTATCGTTTATAGTTTACATGGTGGAATTACAAAAGAAGTTTATATACGAATTGAAAAGTATAGTAAACGAGGATTTACTCTATTAGAACCCATCAATTTCGATGGTAATTTTACTTTAATAATGAAGAAACCTAGTCTTCCATTATATCGTGCCGAACATCGAAATTTCATCGATGACGATGGAGAAATTCAAACTGCAACCGTCGAGTATTGGCGACAGCCTGCACGCAATATTGATACTTTTGACATTCAAGAGCGGTTCATTGCTGCTCTTTAATCATAAATTCAAAAATGAAAATTCTTAGTCGTAATTTACATTCATAAAAATAGTTTGTTTTCGCTGTTTTGCATTGCAATCATGTTGAAGATTATTGTGTTCAAATTTCACTATTTGATGAACCATATGTATCAATTCTGTCAATCTACATATTTGTTTTCTCGTTTTTATATATCATACTTCATTTTTTCTATCGAACCAAGTTGTATAAAATCGACTTGCATTACATGTTTTACATAAGCGTGTTTCCTAGATGTGACTCTAAAAAGTCTAAAAGTTAGTTAGAAATGAACTAACGAATAATTTGTTCATATCTTTCAGATTGAAAAGAAAACGTAATTTTAACGTCTTACTATTCGTACATTTACAAACAATGTCATCTTTGCCAAGTAAGAATTAACAAAACTGTCTACAACAATGTTGTCTTTTTGTTCTATTGCTTATTTAGACAAAACGACAACAACAACAACAACAACAGGAGCAGCAACAACACCTGTAGTCTATTCGAAATTCGTTAACGCAAGTCAACTACTTGCTTCAGTCAAGTCGAACATGAATATCGAATCGGAGGATATCTCAGATCAAGAGTTGTTAGAGATGGCAATTATGTTCGAAAAGGAACACCCGGAATGTGTGTCTACTGTTACAAAATAGAAAAACAATCGAAACGATAAACTTTATATTTGTGTGTGACAATTTTTTGTTTGAAGTAGTCTCTTCTATCCAGTAGATGATCAAATAATTGATCTTTGTTGGAAAAAACTGATTTGCTCATGTTATGTAGTAACAAATCATTCATATTCATGTTTCTTATTATTGGGAATTTCAGATCATGATTTAATAATTAAACTTGGTCTCGTTGCTGTTGTTTGCAAATATAAAGAAACTTATGTCACAGATTTTTATCATGAGTCGATCCATTGAAATCAAGAAATCATGAAGAATTTATTTCATCATAAGCTTTAAAAAAATTTTCAAATATTCAAGTGACAATGATAATGCACATGATTCGATGATCTATCAACGAGTTACAAATTCAATCCAAAGATGGAATAAAATGACCACTTTTTTCAACACGATTATCGATCGTCAACTATTGTAACCATGGTATGCTTTTTTATTCTAAATTCTTCGGAACTGACATGTACTTTTATGTTTGATTTTGTATTATGCAATGATGCGCCACTTACAACAAAAATCGATCGTTTATATGACAATAATTCTCAAATAATGCTTTTCATATTTATGTGAATGATGGCTTCTGACACAATTCACTTCCATAACCAAATAGTACTCAATTTATTGTTAATGGGCTACATGCTGCAGAAAGGTGTCATTTTCATTAATTGTACTTGATCTAAAAGATGATCGACCATCGATGAAACGTCGTTATCACGCACTATATTTTTTCACTAGCGACCTACCACGATTTAAGATATAAATGATGACTCAAGTGCTTGCCATAATTTTCAACTTCGACGATAAATTATTTTAAAAAAGTCAAAGCTCGAATAGATGTTTACGATTCGATATAGAGTTAGGTCGATTCGGTTGTCATACATTTAAATCTCCTCCTACAAGAATGAGAATAGATTGTGATCGATTTATTTTCGTGTGATTCGATTCTAAGTTGTACAAGCGGTCATATCTATGTCTTAGTATGATTTGAAAGCATATTGAACTGGAACTAGTTCATCTTGAAAAATCAATCTATCTCTTAAACTTGCTTTTCGAAACTATATTTCAATTCTAACTGCATTTTGTAATCGATTGTGATCTACTTTTTGTGATGCCAACGAAGCAATTGATTTTTTTCCAGAAATATGCTGGAATAAATTCAAATTGAGATCGACGATGACTAAAAACTTATCGCCATTGATTATAATCCAAAACATTCTTTCGTGTGCACATAAATATTCTTTTCTAGAAGATTAACTTTGAGAAGCAGTCAAAGCTAATTATGCTTTCGAGCATTTTTCTCAAAATGCTCTCTTCGGATTTGTTTTCCCCAAACGAATGGAAATCGATTAATGTGCACTGAAACAACCAAAATATGATGAAGATCAATATCTCGAATCAATCTTTGTTATCTGTCTAGCGATTGGCTATCTACAGCTATGTTTCATCCATCAGTAGTATCAGTACTTAAAGTAAAACAAATTTTTCAAATCAATCTCATACCGTATACATGTATTTTTACCGACAAGAAACATTTAAAAAGATTAATCGCGTATGAAATATGGTTGAAATGAACATTTTCAATGATGTTGGCTTGAGAATTTTGAATTTGTTCTCATCAAATACGGAATTGATTCATATAAATGCTTTCTTTCTTGAATTGAATACCAATTGTGCAAATTTATTCAGATACAAAATCTCAAGTCATGAATTGGTCATCAAATGGGATATACATGAACTTGTTCAATTTATTGTATGTCACTTCGATGAAGTTTCTGCTATTACATTATTGTTTGAGTCACTATATGACAACGATATGGTTCAGCATGAATTTTTAGGATCATTATCGCAACTAAGACATAAATTTCTACTCGTACAATACATCTATATTGGTCATCCGGATGCTGTATGACTAGATATCACTCTTCCTACTAATTTTTATAAAAAAATATATTCAGTTTTTCTGATGCAAAACACTTTAAACCACCAAGTTGACGACAGATAGATAAAAATCAATATTTCGATGTTGTAGTTTGTATGAGCTGTAAGACTGTAATAATCTACTGTTGCTATGCCAATGCTATGAAAACAATTCTTAGACAATTGAATTGGGACCAACGGTATAAACTCAACATTCGATTATTTTTGGAATAAAGTTGTGCTCGACGGTTTCGCGCATGTCATTTTCAATATCAGTAAAATGATCGATTATCTCAAACGAAATGTATCCATAGCGTCGTGTACAACAACAGAGTTTATTCAACATTTGATGAGAAAAAATAAATATAATCATGTCTATGTTTTGTTTTTTAAAATTCAAAGTAGTGATAACTCATAGCCTGAAGATATTATCGATTGCTATTACGTTTTATTCGAGAATATGTAATTAAAAATTCATTTTTCAGATTAGCTTGATAACTAAATATCTTGTGTTTTGTTTACCGTTTTCTACTTAATATTCGTCCCGCATATATGAATCCACACGGGACAAAACGTGTATCTAAGAAAATAGAATACGAAAACCACGATGCCGTGCCACACAATGATGTAACGGAAGGTAATGTATATTTTTATAATCTGATGGTACCATAGTGCTCTTTTCATGTACAGGAAAAATAACCACAGTTTATGATCTATGTGCCGATATTTGGCAAGAAATCTTCGATTATTTTGAAGTTGTAGAATTGTTTAACACATTTGCCTACGTAATTCCTTCAGCTGATCAAGTACTGTTTAGCAGAAATGAACATTATCAACTGCGTGGACTGACAATTGATGATGATACGGAACATTTACCAGAAAATATGAAATTAAGTTGTATCATTTCCCTTACTGTTCGCAATATATATTGTTTCGACATTATCCAACGGTGCATCGAACTTCGTTCATTAAAATTAATCGGTGAGGCTGAATGGATTACGTCTATGATCATAAAGACTGATCAAACGTGCTGCAAATTGGAACAGCTATCTGTTGATATATCTGCGGTTGGATCTATTTCAGAAATATTAACATGTGTTGCATCTATTTATTCATTACGTCGATTAGAGATTTGCGCGGATCGTTTCGTAGAAGACGTGAATAGCTTTTGTTCAGTTAAGAAAGCAAGCAAAATCGAACATCTTATCGTCAATTCATGCAGTATCTTTGATTGGAATCAATTACCCCAGATACTTCCTCGCTTTGTTGACATGCAGCTGCTAAGTATCAGTCTGATTGATGACAATCAGAAATCAATTCCTTCGTTTTATTTGCACAGTATACACACTCTTGCTCTTGGATTATGAGAAGTATCATTCGACTGGATTGCACAACTAGCTGCAACAATGACGAATCTTTGTAAACTAAAATTAAATGGTCTGGTATGCGAGGATGGCTTTGTTAGTAATCAAAGATGGGCACAACTTTTGGAATCTGCGCAGAATTCAATCCGTATATGCGTTAATGTATTTTTACAGCAAGATGCACGTTCTTATTTTGATGAAAGAGTCAAAGTAACACTAAGGAATTTTGGTTTGAGTCTAACGAGTAACAATAATGATGCAGATTATTGCATGAATGATGAAGATGCAAATTGCTGGTGGAATTTGCGGGGCATGATTAGAAAACAATGATGTATTATATATCGAGAAATTGCAGGGAAATATGATCTGATTAGGCATTTCATCGATTTTTTATTATTTATCGCATTTGTAGCATTGCTTTGTTTTAAAAATATCTTTAACAGTCCGTGTTTTAGATGCTCATTTCGTACATTATACTTATGATTGTTTTTCTACTGTATATTTCATATATCCGTGATCAGACGTTTAATTACATCATTTTTTGTGGACTGTCAATTTTCTTATATCTTCGATAAATTCTTCTCTTTCAGATTATTCATTTTACGGTCTGTCACAAACATTAGAATCAACAAATTCAACTTCTTAGCACTACTGTAACTCCATCCAAAACAGGGCCGTAGCTTTGGAGTTATATATGCGTGTATAAATATTTCAGCACTTTATGAACAGTTCTTCTGTGCTCTTTATTGTTCAATTCTGAAAATCAGCTTACGAGTAGACGATCTGAAATCCTTTTGCTAGATACATATACATGTTGATTGATCAACTAGATCGAAACTGTTGAGTATCGTTCTCAATTGTAATTGTATTTGATTGCTATTAGTCGGTGAAACAAGAAAAGATAAAACCTATCGATGTTAATATCTGTCTCGTTTTAAGCATTTGATAGCGTTTGCTAGTGTGTAGAATTTTTTTTGGAAAGAATGATAACATAAACAACATAATTCACTCATAATTAGATTTGTAAAAGTAAAGCTATTACGTCAGACACACTTGAATAAAATGACTACACACTACCGGTGTTTGTTTTGTGGAGCTTCTACAACAACAAACTGTTATTGTTCATCATGTCGTCAGATGGATCGATGTGCCATGTTCGACGCTCTTTTGAAGCTGCTTGGCAATGCGACAAAAACGAACAGCTATTATGATCAAATCAAGAATATTTCTCAAGAAATTGAGACTGTAAGTACAACAGCCAAACAAGGAAAATTGTATTGTCTTTTTTTTAATCAACTCAGCTTGATTGGCTTCTCACACCACTTCAATTCAGTCCCGTTACGTGTTTTGATCCAAATATTCACAGAATTGATCAATGTGCGAAGGAATATCTTGAAAATGGTTGTACGGACATTCAAGGTATGGTACCTGTCGCGGTTCCAGGAGACGGCAACTGTCTCTACCATTCTATCATATGTTTAAATGGAACGAAAAAGCTACCCGTTAGCGAACTGAGAGGTATACAGCCACATCTGCTACATTTGATTCCTTATTTGTATTTTCTATAGTTCGGACTATAATTGAACTTGTAAAAAATGATATTTTTTACCATAATCAGTTTTCGCATATTATTGGACCGCTGAATGAAGCTGTCAAAAGTATTGCCCGTAATTATTCATACTCAGAACTCTATGAAATTGTTGGACTGAGTAATGTCCTAAAATGCAATATTCGAAGCGTATATCCTAAAATTCAATACCGTTCCGAATTGAATATTTTCAATAGTATATTCCAATGTAATAAACACGAATCTACATCGAATATAATCACTCTACTTTGGTCTAACACTCAAAGTGAAATTTATGCACGAAGCTGCAATGCTGGCACCTGGACCCCAAACCATTTCGTACCACTTTTAGCTGCACAAGACGACACTATGCTCCAAAATACTTATCTATCAGTAGATCTCACCTCGAAGACCGTAAGTGCAACTCACTTTTTGTCATGTCAAATAATAGACACTACGAACTTATAGACACCAACGAAATCAACAACAAAGAATGCCGTATCGACTCCAGTGCGTGTTCCACATTTTGTTGACCTAGATCACGAAATGGATGCATCACCAAAATCTTCAACATGCTCTGCTGATTCAAACAGCACAGCAAGCCGTAAGATTAAACGAAAAGAGAAGTATATGAAGGGTAACGAACGTACCGAAGTTCAGACGGCCGAAAATAAACAAATATCTGCTCGAGAAAAAAGTGCCGCCCGAAGAGCTGCATTATCACCTACACAGATAGAACGGCAACGTACTCTTGATCGTGAGAGAAAAGCAGCTAGTCGAGTTGCTATGACATCCGAAGAAATCGAATGTCAACGAATAACTGCTCGCGAAAGAAGTGCAGCTAGAAGAGCCGCTTTAACACCTGAAGAAATTGAACGTCAACGAGAACTTGCTCGCGAAAGAAGCATAGCTAGAAAAGCTGCGTTATCGCCTACGCAGATGGAACGGCAACGTACTCTTGATCGTGAGAGAAAAGCAGTTAGTCGAGTTGCTATGACATCCGAAGAAATCGAACGTCGACGAATAACTGCTCGCGAAAGAAGTGCAGCTAGAAGAGCCGCTTTAACACCTGATGAAGTCGAACGTCAACGAGAACTTGCTCGCGAAAGAAGCATAGCTAGAAAGGCTGCGTTATCGCCTACGCAGATGAAACGACAACTCACTTTTGACCGTGAGAGGAAAGCAACCAGTCGAGCTGCCTTGACACCGGATCAAGCTGCAAGAGAACGAGTGATTGCACAAGAAAGAAGTGAAACAAGAAGATCCGCTCTATCATCAGAAGACAACGAACGACAACGAATACTTGCTCGAGATAGAAGTATGGCTAAACGTGCTGTTGCATCACCAGCAGAATCCGAAGCACAACGTGTATTAGCTCGTGAAAGAAGCTCCACTAGACGAGCGATGATCGCATCGCAAAGTACCGAACAATTGGAAGCATCTGGTCAGAAGCAAAATCGTTCACAGGAGAATATTAATCTGAAAACAGCTGCGGCACATAGAAAAACAGATAGCGTTGAAGTGGACTGGCCAAAACCTGTGGATTTAGAGTGCAAGAAAAGCTGTTTAAAAAACTTCATTCAATCGATGTCAATGAAGGCTCTAGAGGAGGGCGTCTGCAGTATATGTAATATACGTTGCTACAAGCGGGATCTTCGATGTGTCCCTTATAATAAAATCCCATCAATTGAATTGCTCAAAGCACATGATGATCTTTACAATATGATCTGTGGGTTTGATCAATCGAAAAGCTTACATACAGATGATCAAAACAGCATGGATTGTGACTTGGAATTGTCGACTGATGAATCTGGTGAGGATCAGACATTATGCATTTTTTTGTGTTTGAAGGTCATATATTTGATTGCAGATCGGTTTAAACAATCTTCTGAAACAAAAGCATCATTTATTTGCGTGAATGGTATAGTTCTATATAGAAAAGGACTTCATCATAACTTTGATAGGAGAAAACGTTCCATGGTTCATTGCGATATTTGCATGGAATGTTGGTCTTCTTTGACAAAAGAAAAGATACCCAAATTCTCAGTTGCGAACAAGGTGTGGGTTGGTGATGTAACACCGGAACTTCAAGGTTTAACAATTCCCGAACAGAGACTGATTGCACTTTATCGCCATAACAGCTGCATTGTAAAGCTACAGTCTTCGTTTCATTCAGCATCTACCGCACAATCAGCACTAAAAGGCAATTGCATAAGCTTTCCTCAGGATGTCGTTAACATTGCAACTACCCTACCACTAGAATTAAACGAATTATGTGATTCTTTAAAAATAATATTCGTCGGATCTCATACTCCAAATAGAAATCAATTAAAAAGAATTCTAACTGTTCGAAAAACAAAAGTAGCAGCAGCGCTCCAATGGCTGAAAACTAATAACTCCTTGTATAAACACATTACAATCAATAAATCCGCAATCGAGAACTTACCAAGTGACGATGTGCCAGAATGTTTATGGACCACGATGCAAATTTCAACTGAAGTTCAAACTGCTGGAAACGACAGGGCAGGTTATGTTCCCGAGACCAATCCTGATAAAAATGACTTGAATAATGATGAAACCATTCCCCTAATGACAAGGTAAAAGAAGATCCTTTTGATCATTTTCATTACTGTGTAATTTACTATAGTGGTGTTTTGGATGTTAACGGTGTCAATATTTCCTCTGATGATGTAACACAACACATGCTGGAGCGTGTGAAAGTACAAACAACGGAAGATCGGCGCGACAGAGATTTAGAAGCAAACGTTAGAAAAGATCCTATTTATTTAATTCCTCGCGGCAACAAACCTGCAAATGAATATTACAATCCAAATCTGTTGATGGGTATCTTTCCTACACTTTTCCCATATGGATGTGGCGCCTTGGAAGACAATTCAAGACCTGTAAAAATCAATTTACGAGAACATATAAGACACTTGCTATCATTTGAAGATCGTCGTTTCGAAGAAAATCATTCATTTATATTTGTTGTCTTTAACATTTTACAACGTCGCACAGCATGCTTTCACGCCCAACTGATGACAACAAGACCATACTTTCAAAAATCCGCCGAACTCATTGACTCATTAAGTTCTGATGATATACAAACAGCTCTTGTTAATATTTCCAAAGGGATATACTCGAAAGTTGTTGATGAAAGGATAAATGCACTAATGAAGCATATCAGGGTTATTAGTGGTCATGTTATGGGATCTGCTCATTCTCGATCAGCTCTTCGTACAAAGATTCATGCACTATGTTTCAATATCGGTTTACCGAGTCTGTTCGTTACGATCAATCCAGCTGATATACACAGTCCAGTAGCTCTTTATTTCTCAGGCGTTGATCTGGATCTTGATAATGTTATACTGAAAAAGATGGGTACAAGCTATGAGCGTGCTCAAGTAATTGCCACTCATCCTGTTGCCACTGCGAAATTCTTCAATTGTTTGGTTAAAAGTATTTTGAAGTGCCTAGTACTTGGAGGTGTACTTGGTCCCGCCAAGGCGTATTTCGGTACTGTGGAAAGTCAGGGTAGAGGATCGCTCCACTTACATCTTCTTATCTGGCTCAATCATGAATTTACTCCAGCACAACTAAAAGAGCAGATTCAACAAGAAGATTTTCGCACTAGATTGTTAGAATACTTGGAAGATATTATAAAAGAAGATTTAGATTTGTTTCAAGGTAATGCATAAAACGCAGTCGAAATCATCTATCAGAAGTATATGCGTAAAGTTAGATAAGTTTAACTTCCATATATATTGAACATGTCGTATCATGCAATCAGTTTGAAACTACTTTTTAAAGAGATGTTCAGTAGATATGGTGCACGTATTTTCGATGGTTAATTTTCATTGACATTGATAGCTATTTTAAATAATTTGTTTTTCTTACTCTATTTGTTACTTTCGCAGAAAAAGGTGATAATGCATCAAATGCTACGGAAAACATCGAAGCACCACGTAAGCTTGTTAGTTTTGAGACACTTTTACTGTTACCTTCGTTTTGAAAGAAATGGAATCTGCGATGAGTGAAACGGTTCCAGCATGTCAACCGATACCGAATCCATCTGCCGACAACTTTCTAGAAATGTTTCATAGATATATTATACACCTTGTGAAAACGTGCAATATTCATAAACATACTGCGACATGTTATAAGTACTCTAAAGGAAAAGCCAACGATTGTCTAATTTGTCGAATGCGAATGCCACGCGTTCTGGTGGAAAGTTCTAGTATTGATCTTGAATCTGGTCAAATTGCTATGCGTCGTTCTCATCCATGGATCAATAATTTTAATGAATGGCTGATTAGTGCTTGCAGATCCAACATGGATATTAAATTCATTTGGAGTGGCAGCGACGCCAAAGCTCTTGTTTATTATATAACTGATTATATTACAAAATCGAGTCTTGCTTTCCACGATATGTTTCTATTTGCACAACAAGGAATTAAGTCGATTGAGCAATACCGAATTCCAGACCGAACTGAAAGTGCGGTTGAAAAATCGCGGAAACTTGTATTGCGATGCTACAACATGATTGCTTCACACCAAGAAGTTTCAGGTGTTCAAGTAGCATCATATTTGATGAACTTTGGAGACAATTACACGACGCATACGTTCAAGAACCTATTCTTGTTCTCTATTGAAAACTATCTGCAAACAGAATTAATCAAAGCAAGACTGGGTGCAAAAGAGCCTGACGAGCGAACTACAGAAGGTAATAAACTGAAACGTACTTATGCAGATAGAAAAAGAATTGAATCTTTAGGTACGCTAAGTGATTTTTATGAGGATCACGAAGAAGATGGGACAAAAATGAATGAAGAACAATTTATTTTGGAAAAGACAGCGACCAAAAATGAAAACACATATGTGATGGTAAACACGCGTCTTGACTATCAATGCCGATCCAGAGATTTAACTACAATCTGTTTATATGATTTTGTCAGCCAGTTTCATAAGAAAGTCATTGACAAATCCGATCAACGTGCACTAAAGAATGCCCAGAGTTCTCATGGTGAACGTCTGAGCACAGAGGGTACAAGAATGAATGAACGTCATACCTTTGAAAGCACACATCCTCAATCAGCATCACACATTCTCATCAGACATAACAATCCAGTTGTACCAGTTCTTCTAGGTCCTCAAATACCACGCCGAGAGCGAGAGGATACTCGTGAACGATATTGTCGCGCAATATTAACACTATTTGTACCATGGCGATCAATAAATGATCTTTGCACAGTCACTCAGACATGGTCCGAAGCGTTTGAGACTCATCGACATCTCATATCTGACAAGGCACTGAGAATCATTGAAAATATTCAGTTGCTCCATGACTGCAAAGGCGATCGAGACCAACACCTTTTACAAACTATTGCAGTAGATGACAGCGATAGTAAAATTGATCCTGTTCTTATCCCTGATAATTTCAGAAAAGACGAAGATGACGAGGATGATGATCCTGAAGAACTTTTGCAAATGCTATCTCTTGTGAATGAAACTAACAGCAAAGCATTTGTGAAGTCCTCTAGCTGCGCAGAGCAGCGTTACCTATGTGAAGCATTGGAATCAATCGATAGTACAGATCGATTTGCCTCATTAAAGAGTGAGTTTATTAGAACTCAATCTCCTCAATAGCTATGAGATTTGTTTAGATTGCAGAAATTTATTGAACAGAAATGAGTATCATTCATTAGATGACTCGAATGCATTTGTGACGGCTACTTTGGATCATGCAAAAATGGTTAAAGAATGGAAACGTGACATTGAAACGAAAAGAGACAAAGCAAGAAATTATTTAATTTCTGGTGATTACACTGTAGAAACACAAGACGACGAAATGCAAATTGAACCAGTCACTGCTCAGATCCCTACAAGTCCTTTGAAGGATCAAATATCAACAGTTTTACCTGTGAGTACAGTTGAAACTGTTCTATTGCCAAGCAAACCAGATATTATCATGAAATTCACATTGAATAAACAGCAATCATTCGCATTCAAGATTATTTGTGATCATCTCGACGGCGACTATTCATCGCGGAACGGTAAATTTTTGACTACTTTTGATAATATGTTGTCATCTACAATATATTAGATACTCTTAACGGGCAACTACTGATGTGTGTACCTGGTTGTGGGGGCACTGGGAAGTCCCAATTAATTCGAGCAATTACTAACTATTTTCAACTAACCAATCGATGTAAAATGTTGCGCAAA